AACATAAAGGTATTTTGAAAATCAATTTTCAGAAAATATATAACTCACTTGTGAATTTCGAAATACCTTTTCTATAAAAGGTAGTGTGAAATTTTCGAACATGATAATTTTTTTGAACTTACATAATGTTTTTTAGTTTATTTTTATAGTGCATTGTTAGACTGGAGGGTGTGGGAGAGATGTTTCCCTCACTTTTTGTGGGTCACACCACTCTTTCTTTCACTTTTCTTTCCCTCACCTAAAACCTAAGGAATGGGTGGGAAGCTTCCCTCACTATTTTTTTATATTTTTTTAAAAATATATTTCATACATATATTATACTCATTTTGTAGGGAATTAAAAACCATGAATTTTAATATATATTTTATATTTTTTTTGATAGGTATATAATTTTATAAATATTAAAAAGGATAAAAAGAAAAAAAAATTGTCCAATAGCATGAAGAGAGAGAGTGCGGCACTCCCTCCCCCCACCTCTTTCCCGCGGGATGCTTCCCTCACCCAAGGAGTGGTGTTCAAGAGTGAGGGAAGTTTCTCTCACCCATTTCCCGCTCCCACTCCGTCCAACCTTAGCAATATCAACGTGTATTCAATTTTCTCAAATGGTTGGGTGGTCACTAAAACGTTCTAAGATTTCTGACGACGTTGATATCATTTGGTCAAGCATAAAACCTGAAAGCAACCAATGTCAACCTGAACAACTGCCTCACAACCCGGTGAAACTCGGTCTTAATGAGAGAGTTGTCTGACATCGAGCTTTTTAGATCTATTCAGTTCAAAAGAACTGTAACATGTGGTCTGCAATGTCAAATTCACGAATTGCAGAAACTTGTCTTAATGATAGAGTTGTGTGAGATTAAACTTTTTTGGGGCAATTCTTATTTATGATTTGGCCAATAGTTGAAACACAACATGAAGATCAAGAAACAACTGGTTAACTGGACTGATATTTACAAATAATAGAGAAGACAACACGACTACCAACTATTTATAGATTTTTATATACTTCTTGGTTCGATGACAACTCCGATGAAAATGTGTCGAATAAAAATATTTTACGCGAGTTGCTATCATGCCAAAAATGTTAACTATTCCAATAATTCAGAAACAAATAATGAAATAATCACAATAATGTATGAAGTATAAACGATTACTTTATTATATAATTAAGCATGTGCAAATAAACATTAATAAAAATTTAATTATCATAAAATACATATTAGAAAACATATTATTACATTACATCACCTAAACAACCAAATACGATGGTATAATAATACTAATATACTATAAACAAAAACATACACTCTCCCAATCGGTAGTACACTCGAAAGTGAAAGTATAGGCTTCTCTACCACTCATTAAAAAAAAAAAAAAAAAAATCGATCCAGCTGATGTCTAAAATCTTCTTTTAAATACTCAACATGTCTAAAACCCTTCGTTGGGATTCGGGATCCTATGAATAGGATGAGTAACACACGAATCCTATGAAAATTATCTTATTAAAAAAATGTCTTTTCAATTAGATCGGAAAGAGTAAAAAAAAAAGGTTTGCTGAGCAAATTTGTCGTGTTATATACTTATATAACACCTGATTAATCATATGAAAATTATCTACGTTGATTCCCATCAAGGATATTATACTACGAAATTATCATTTTCTCTCGAAACTATTTTAAATGGAAAGGGATTTGTACAGTTTTTGAGTTTTATTTTTACGAATAATCAGGTTTCGGGTTTGGACCAGACCGTACCCAGAATTCGGGATTTAATCCGGATCGGACCGAAAAACATTTTCACCTTAATTCATTTTATAGATATCAACATAAATTTAAAATATATAGACAATGATATTGAATTATTAAAAGATGTCTTTTTTTGAATATGAAATTAAAGGTAAAAATATTTTTTTGTTTCTGTTTTTTATAAATAAAAGTATTGTTTTTCTTATTAATAGTGCTTTTTTGTTAAAAAAAATGCAATTTTTTTAAATAAAAAATGCAGTTTTTTTATAAATGGTGCAGTTTTTTACAAATAAAAACAAACATGAATTTTTTTTTATAAAAAGTGCATTTTTTATGTTTTCTAAATGTAATTCGGTCCAAAACCCGAAACCCGGTTTAGTACCTGGAATTGGACCGGACCGAACCGGACCTGATACACAAAAAAATGGTCGGTTTTCGGATAAGGTAATGAACGATTTTTGGTCTTCGGGTCGGTCCGATCCGGGTCCAGCCCATTACTCATCCCTAATAATAAGTTAGGCAGTAATTTTATTTAATTTCTGATTTTTAGGAGAAATTTAAATTCGTCTTGAATAAGTTTCGGTTATGATTTCCAATACTTAATTGTATTTATATATTGAAAATCCCACAAAATCATGTTTAATTAATAATTTATTTAAAATTAATAATTATGAGTTTTACTATAAATTTAATTATTTTTGTTATCGTGTTTACCACTGGCTATAACCTAGTTATTCTACTAAATTACTTATACATTGTGAAATGACTTTTAATCGTATTTTACGATAGTTATATCAGAAAATGAGAAAATAAATATCAGATATAACTTTTTTATACCATCAAGCATAAAACATCTATAAATTTATTTTGGAAAACATGACTTAGTATGGTAATTATGTTTTAAAATCATTCAAAAAACATCATCCGAGTCTCATTTGTTCAATCAACCAAATAATGTCTATATACAAAAAAACATCATCCAAATAGTGTCTATATACAAAAAAACATTAACAAACTACACACTTTATTCAAAAGACACCTTATAGCAATCGACATTTGTAAGGGAAGGGCATGATATTATTGGTAAATACTAATTAACGGAAAAAAACAAAGGCAAATGACTCGTGATGGTAACTATGTTTCAAAATCGTTCGAAAAAACACCATCCAAGTATTTTATGTTCAAAAAAATCATCCAAATAACATGTTTGTACAAAAACACCAACGAACTATATGTTTTATTCAAATGTTTCCCACTGCTAACCGACTCCATGTTTTTTTTTTTGAACGTCAACACTTTAAATGAAAAATACTTGCTAGATGCTAGCAAAAAAGAACACAATAGTTCAAAATTACATGACTGTGTTTTTGACTAATGCAGTCTAACTATGATTGGCCTTAATATTTCTATAACAAAAACATTTAAATACAAAAGCTACAATATTATCAAGCATGATAGTTTTTCTATATTGTTATTGCCAGGATACCATAGCATTCTATACGACCACAAAACCCAACAAAGTGTCATAAAAACCGATTCCAAAATTTTATGTTTGAACTGGACCACCGTATGCAAATCACTCCATTGAAACATATATGTGACGTTCGAAAAATAAGGAATATCCATGTCTATCCAAACCCGCATTCTTTTGTGTATCTCACGAGCTAAATCACAAGTGAAAAAGATCGACATATTGTAAATGGCTAGAACAAATAGGACACAGAGTTGAGTCAACCTTAATCCCTATTTTATCCGATTTCACTCGAGTAGGAAGACGATCAATAACTAACCGTCAAACAAAAAAGTTGAACTTTATAGGAACAAAACTATTCCACCTAATAGTTGGTGACATGAAATTAATTGATATATTCCTCTTTTATATATTGATTTAGGGCTTCTTCGTAAACGAATGACTTCTTATTCTCTTCTGATTACGTCTTCTTCTACTAAATCGTTAATCCTGAAATCAAGCTCACACATTTCAAAGACACCGAAGATATTTGATGATGCAAACCGTTGTGGTTGTGGGCACTCTTTTCGAATTTGAACATCAAACACACGATGACTAATCTTGACAAAAAAAAGTTTAGGGTTTGTCCCAACCGAATGGTAAGCTTAACTGAAAGCTTTTTTTATGTTATTTTCCTATATATTTATTTGGTTATGTGATTTTTTTTTAATACGAAGACTAATCCTAGAAAAAAGTTTAGGGTTTGTCCCAACCGAGTGACAAGTTTAATTGAAAGCTTTATCATGCACTTATCATATATATTTGCATGGTTGTGCGATTAATATTTTGTATATGAAGGATCCAATGTCATTAAATGTCCATAAATAACTTCATATTCAAAAAAAAAATCACATAACCAAGCAAATATATAAGAGAAGAACATGATAAAGTTTTCAATTAAACTTACCATTTGGTAGGGACAAAACTTGAACTTTTTGCCAGGATTAGTCAGCATGGTTAATTTTCAAATTCGAGAAGTGTGCCTATAGCCACAAGGATTTACATCATCAAATATCTTCTGTGCTTTTGAAATGTGTGAGCTTGAGTTGGAGATTATCGATTTAGTAGAAGAAGAAGCCATCAAATAGGAAGAAGACATCGTTCATTCATGAAGAAGCCCTAAATCGATTTATAAAGGAAGAATGTATCAATTAATGTCATGTCACCCATAAACAGGGAGTTGGGTTGGTGTTTTTTATATTAAGATGTTATTTGGATGATGTTTTTTGAACGATTTTAAAACATAGTTACAATTTTGAGTCATTTCCCCTTAATTTTTTACCGGAATATCTTGCATTCATCTATAAAAATGATGTTTGTTAAAACTAATTAATAAACTAACTGAAAGATATAAAATGACATAGAATAGTATTTAAAAGAATGTGTTTTCTATTAAAAAAAATAGCTTAAGGGATAGTGTTTAAAAAACCTTTTGAAAAACTAGTCTATGTAACTTTAAAAAAAAGCTAGCTCATAGACTATTTTTTAATTTGTCAAACATAACAACTTAAAAAAGTTTGAAAAACGAACTAGTTTATCAGCTAGCTGTGGAACGCCAAATACAACCTTAAATAATGTTTTTTAAACGATTTTGAAACATTATCACTTTATAACTCATTTTCTCATTTATTTTTAGGAAGGAGCTAAATATATGTTTTTTATTAAAAAAAATTATCACATCTCCTCAACCCAAAGAATTATAAATAACGAGATTCAAGGAATAAGGAAGGCAAGGCATTAGACATCTAACATTTTAATCCAAGGAAGTGGGACCCAAACAGTGTTTGATAGGGATCCAGATACAGAGATGTTGAGGGTCCATCGTCCAAATCGGATACTGTCGTTATACGCCTACATCCATCACACTCAAACATGGCCTTTCAGTCCCCCCATCTGCTACCACAGTCCACAGATGCTCTGCGATTTTACCTCAGATTCCAAACCCCTAACCTAGCGTTTCAATTTCTCACTGCTACACACAAAACTCTTTCTCTCTCATTTCAACAAATAAACCAACCCTAGATCTCTCAAGTCTCAATCTGCATTCGTGATATTCATGTAAGTGCTCAACTACTCTCGATCCACTTTTTATCTCTTTTTCTGTACTTAAAACTTATTTAATATCAGATGTCGGAGTTTGTTCCCAGCCTCCCATCGAAAACTCCGCGTTTGAACTCCCAATGTTTTTATATTTTTTCGTTCTTATCTTATCTGTTTTAACTGTTAAATCTTTACCTTGTATGTGCGAATCTGCTTGATACATCAACTAATTAGAAGGCAAGTTTTTCTATTGATTGGGTCGCTGTGCATTCTAGTGTTGATTTTGATGCTTTATTTTAGCTTAATGTCTGTGCTTATGGTGAGATTTCGTTTTCGATTGTTTTTATGCTCTCGAGTTTTCGTTTGGTAAGTATCGGATGAAATGGCAAAACAGAAGTTATTTAAATTCAGTAGATCTCCTCTTGGTATATACAACTAATAATCTATTTTGATCTCCCAGAGCGAATCATAAGAAAAATACTGTTTTGCCTGTTGTGAATTTGGTTTCTCAAGATTTTTGTAGTATGCTAGATCACATATTTTGCTGCATATTTGATTTGATTGAAATGTTGATACCTAATGGCTTAATCACCTGGAATTAAGCTGGAAAACGAACATCAAACCCTAATACTTCAGGGAATTGAGTAAAAACAAACTATGTGCCATGACACTCTTAAAACGTGCACCATTTTCACATTGTTGATTTTGTTTTCAATATATTTTCAAAGGAAGTGAAAGAATCCTCCTTGTGGGGACCTTGAGCAAAAAAGCACTTTTCGGGACCCTTTTCTTTGTTCATATGCATTTTCATTTTCTTGAGTTCTTTTCCTAACAGTGAGCTGTGCTGGTATTCTTTATAACATTAAATGATGATGAAAAAGAAAAAAGCAGAAAAGGCGATCTGGCTGACTTTGCTTTCCATTGGTCCCATTGCAGGATTCCTTCCACATATATTTTTCCTAGAAACTTTTAATAGTATGTTCTTCATACCTGGATTCTCCCCTTAACCCATTGCACTGTGTAATTATCACATTGAGGCAAACATTATCATAAATGGGTTCACTTTATGGCACACACGAGATTGTTGAGTTAAATGATGAACCTAAAGTGAGTGATTATTCCAATCGCTATCACCAATCAAGAGCAAAAGAGAAAGAGAAAAAGCCTCAAGGGTGCAGTAGATATATAGAAGATGACATCAACAAGCTATTTGAAGGTATCAATATCAGAACTTCATTCAATGGCTCCAGTTATTCAGATGAAACAGGTGGCAACACACCAAGAAAAAACCAAAACCCATCAAAGAAACCAATGAGAATGAGCTATTCATCTTCCTCCGGAATCGGGTATTCCGAACCCGTGTCTTTGAAACAAGCTTTACGGGGTTTATGTATTTCTCAAGCTTCAGAAATGGCTGCCATTAAACGACATTCAATGCCTCCAGGCTCTCCCGCTCTTTCCGATTCCGGTAAGTTGACCGATTTCTACAAGTCCTTTGTTAAAGGCACTGATTCCGGTTCCGGTTCCGTTTCCGTTTCCGTTTCTTCCATGAATCAAGAAAGCACATCAAGAACTTCAGCAAAGATTCCGAATCTTGAAAAGTCAACAAAAAGTGTAAAAGTAAAACCTCCACAAAAGCTGAATGAGATTTTACTTGTACCGGAATCGGAAAGTAGTCAAGAACCAATACAAGAAAAGAATTCCATTCCTTCTCCACCTTCGCGTATTCCAGCCGAAAGTTCATCGGAATCGGTCAATTCCGAAGTTAATGTCATAAAGAATAATCTTACACCAAGTAAGTCAACCCCAAAGTCACGCTATAAAGGAAAGTCAACTCGTGTAGTCAAGACTGTAATTCGAAACAAGAACCTCGTGAAGAAAAAGTCAAAGCAAGATTTTACCTCATCTCCTGAAAAAACCAATCTAATATGCCAAAAATGCCATTGTACTATGAAAGAAGCCAAAAGAGAACAACAACAACCGAATAAAGACTCTTCAAAATCACCTCTTTCCACCATCACATTGATAAGCAATAAGAACTCAAAATACAAAGATAAAGGCGAATTCACTCAAAGCTCAAATAGCAGCATTTGTGAATACAGTTCAAGTACTAGCATAAGTGAAGACAGAAATCTCAGTGGGTGTATTATCATAAACAGACCTCACATGTCAAAAGACATAAGATGGCAAGCGATTAACCATATCATGAAACAAAACGGGTTTCTAGGGTTAGGACATTTCAATCTGTTGAAGAAACTCGGGTGTGGGGATATTGGTACTGTTTATCTCGCTGAATTAATCTCGACAAATTACCCTTTTGCCATTAAAATCATGGATAATGAGTTTTTAGAAAGAAGACAAAAGATGCCTAGAGCTCATATGGAAAGAGAGATTTTAAGCATTCTTGATCACCCGTTTCTCCCTACACTCTACGCTCATTTTGTTTCTGAAAACTTATCGTGTCTGGTTATGGAGTATTGTCCAGGTGGCGATCTTCATGTTCTAAGACAGAAACAACCCGCTAGATTCTTTCATGAACAAGCTGCAAGGTATGCAAATTATAGCATTGTGCAATTTCAATTTAACATGATTTATTTTACCAGTTTTACTAAAATAGACATTGAAATTGAATGTAGATTCTATGTTGCTGAAGTCCTTCTTGCTCTTGAATACCTTCATATGCTTGGGATCGTTTATCGAGATTTAAAACCCGAAAACATTTTAGTCAGAGAAGATGGTCACATCATGGTGACTGATTTTGACCTTTCTCTTCGGTGCTCCGTGAACCCGGTTCTCCTCCGATCCCCTTCTACGGGTCCGGGACCCACAGAGGCACCTAGGATGTCGGGCCCATGCGCTGGTTCCAGCTGTATTGATCCTTTCTGTATGAAACCCACCTGTCAAGTTCAAGTCTCATGTTTCCGGCCACCAAAAGGTCGGAAAACAAAACAAGACCTCGCCGGAGAACGCCGGAAACTTCCACAGATGGTGGCTGAGCCGACGGAGGCTCGGTCAAATTCCTTTGTCGGGACCCATGAGTATTTGGCGCCTGAAATTATAAAAGGAGACGGACATGGAAGTGCGGTTGATTGGTGGACGTTTGGGATTTTTCTGTACGAGCTTTTGTACGGGAGAACGCCGTTTAAAGGTCCAGGGAACGATCAGACGTTGGCGAATGTTGTTTTGGAGAGTCTTAGGTTTCCGGAAACGCCGCTGGTTAGTTTTCAGGCGAGGGATTTGATTAAAGGGTTGTTGGCGAAAGAGCCGGAGAATCGGTTGGGGTTTCATAGAGGGGCGGCGGAGATTAAACAGCATCCGTTTTTTGATGGGCTGAATTGGGCTTTGATACGGTGTGCGTCTCCACCAGAGTTGCCGGAGGCGTATGACGTGGCGGTGTCTAAGGCGGCGGCGTTAGAGAAAGCGAAAAAGTATTTGGATTATAATGGGGGTTCTGGAGGGGGTCTGGAGTTTGAGTTATTTTAAGATTGTGGAAGTTAAAAAAGTTATTGCCCGAGTTTTGTAATCGATAATCGGCGCACTTGTACAAACTATTGCTTAGAATTATGAAATTTCAGACCCATTTGCATCCAGTTCCACCATCTTCACGATTTAAAAAGAACAAAAAAAAACTAGATATTTGATCTATGAAATCAAATGTAAAACAATATTTTGTAAAATGCTAAATTAGAAGCCTCTTAACAATTACTCAAATATCATTGTTTTCGAACTAAGTAAAGGACAAAGTTTATTTATAAAATGATAACGATTCTGATCAAATTAATGATAACTGAAGTCTATTTTTTTTTTCTTTTTGGTTTAGAAAGTTTACCTAATATAATATGTCGGAAAAAAATAAAAAAAATAAACGGGTCAATAAAAATGTCCATAACGAATGATATTATTAAATATCAACATACGTTAATAAAAAGTTAATGGGCCAACCTTATATTATCCATCCGGGAATCTTGAGATTTAATGGTAGAAGTTTTTCATCATGTTTATATTCCATTTTGAAAACAAGGTTGGATCGGTGGGTTCAACTGGTTGAACGAGAAATCCATCATGTCTTCAGTTCAGTCGAATTAAAAAAAACCCGATTATTATTGAACCAAAATAGAATACATAGGGTTACAGTGATCATTCATTAAAAATAAATTATATGATTCTATAAAAAAATTACTGACTCAAGTCTCAAAATTTGTAATAAACGGGGCCATTGTATGGATCAACGGGTCAATCCATTAAAAGTTAAAACGTTATTCAAAGTTTGGGTTTTGAAATTGAACATAAACCGCCTTTACTCTCTTCTCCTCAATCCGCATGTATTGATTCTCATCTTCAAGATCGCCTATAACACAGTCTGGTGAGTCGACCACGACCACAACTGCAGCTCCGATTCTACATTCTCCGGTGAAGGTTCTTTCCTCTGCTTCCACCCAACGTCTCCTCTTCCAATAACAAGTAATTCTTAATTCCTCCCAATCTTTCGAGAACTTCTACAATGTCGATTCCTCCAACGTTTCCCGATTATTTATTCCTGATCTATAAATTAGAATCTTGCTATTCAAAATTTAAGTTATATGTTATTTTAAACTTGTTACACTGAATTTGAAGCTGATTGCTGAAAACCCTAAGTGTGAATCTGAAACCCCCAATTGCTTTTTGTCTGTAACCCACATTAGATAAATAGTAAATTCTTCTGGTATCTTAGTTATGGAATCCGTTGTGTTTACTTATGGTATTGAATAATCATTGCAGTCAGAAACATGCCTAAAGTGAAGACAAACCGCGTGAAATACCCCGAGGGCTGGGAACTCATAGAGCCAACTCTTCTCGAATTACAGGCAAAAATGAGAGAAGGTAAAACTCCCTCGAAAATAGCAGTAATTTCATTATCTGATCACATTGATATGCAACTACTTCACTTTCTGCAAATTCCAAAAGGCTATAATGCTCTTAAAGTCTTAACAACAATATCTTCTTTTTCTTCCCTTTTTATATGAACAGCTGAGAATGATCCACATGATGGGAAGAGAAAATGTGAGACCCTGTGGCCAATCTTCAAAATTGCACACCAGAAAAGTCGCTATATCTTTGATCTTTATCATCGTAGGAAGGAAATTTCTCCAGAATTGTATGAATTTTGCTTGGATCAAGGGTATGCTGATCGTAACATTATTGCAAAATGGAAAAAGGCAAGAAAGATAACTGATTTTCTATTTAGTTTTTTCCTTCGCTTTTCATGATTTTATATGATACCCTTCTTAAAATCTATCTATGCATGTTATTTTTGTAACCACAATGATAATGCATGATTTCAGGCTGGATATGAAAGACTTTGCTGTTTAAGATGCATTCAACCACGTGATCACAACTTTCAAACAACGTGTGTTTGTAGAGTGCCTAAGCATCTGAGGGAGGAAAAGGTGATAGAGTGTGTGCATTGTGGGTGCAAAGGCTGTGCTAGTGGAGATTGATCACTTATTTTGTACCAAATTGAACATTTCTTAAGTAATCTTGATGCTTTTGTGTTTGTTATTATACTTTTAGACAAACATTTGGGTCTAAAATGACCTTGCTATGTACTCTTATGTGCTTCTTGATGTTTTCTCTTAGTTGAAAGTTTGAACATTCATTTTCAAAAAGACCCTTATATTTGACAAAAAGTTTATTTTGGACCAAAATTTTCCGTTTTAGCTTCATAATTCGTTTGTTCATGTTCTTGCTATTGTTATGGTGTTCTTGGTGGAGGTTCAATTTTGTATATGTGTTTGCTAATATGAAAAAGAAAGGTTCTTCAATTAGCTAACTCGGATAGATTTATATAAATGTTTTTGCGTATACTAATTTAAGACTAAAGGTTATCTGTCTACAAACCCACATGGAATTTATCATAAAAGATTTCGTCTATGAACATGTGGATAACAAAGGTTTGGTTTCTATTAATTTGAAGACCGAATGTTCTACGCAAAACATAGCATTAACTATTCACTAGTATGAAATAATTGCCTTTTCAAAGGTGAAACCAAACCCAATTTCAGGAGTTGTATATCTTCTCGATTTAATTCTCATCGTCCTTTATGGTTTCTTTCTTAATTTCATTTTGACTTTATTGGTTGTGGATTTCAGACTTCACCAAGAACCGGTACAAATTCATGTTTCAAACTAGGTACTCGAATTTTAGATTAATTCAACTTTCAACGTATGAAAATCACGTTGCATAGTATGTATTTAGCAATTAAACAATAAAGCACATGCAACAAACAACGAATATACCCTAACAACATTAGAACACCTAAGAAAAACATATTTTAAGTTTTTAAACCTAAAATTGAATCTGCTTTAGACAAGTTTTTTGCGTTTTAATGGAGTTTTCATTTTAGACTATTTTTAAAATATTGTTAACAACAAAAAAAACCTACGAAACTAACGTGATTGTTTGATAGTGAAAATACCCGTTTTGAGTTTCTGTGTATTCCATCTATATAAATAGTACAACCGAGTATATGGTATTTACAATAAGGACCATATACTATACAAGATAAATAAATAAACATAAACTAACACTCTCCCTTTGTTTAAGCAGGGTGGTCACTAATACTTAAACTGTTATATAGTCTAGAAATAACTGTGTAGGAAGTCCTTTTGTAAAAATATCAGCAAATTGATGAGCAGATGGAACATATAACACATACACTTGACCAATAGCAACGTGTCCCCTAACAAAATGCAAGTCTATTTCCACATGTTTGGTTCGTTGGTGCTGAATTGGGTTAGAAGACACGTACACAACACTGACATTGTCACAGAAGATGACTATATTACGAGATAGGGGACATGACAGTTCAAGAAGGAGGTTCACGAAGCCACACAGATTTTGTAACAACATTAGTTACCCCCTGTACTCAGCTTCAACACTAGATCGAGAAACAGCGTGTTGATGCTTGGAAGACCAAGAGATAAGATTATCACCAAGATAGACACAAAGCGCATAAGTGGAACGACGAGTTTGAGGATAACCCGCCTAATCAACATCATAATAAGAAACCAAACGATCGAAATGAGACGAACGTATGTAAAGACCACGAGACATGGTACCATGAAGGTAGCGAAGAATATGCTTGAGAGCAAAGAAATGAGGTTCACGAGGAACATGCATATAAAGACATATTTGTTGAACTACATATGCAATATTTGGACGAGTAGAAGTGAGATATTGCCGAAGGCAGCTGGCATGTTGTGAGCGAAGCTGGGTTGACCAAGAGGCTGTTGTGGACCGAGAAAATAAATTGGGCCGAATGCATGGGCCGAGCCGGCTGTAGATAGGACGTTGGTCCAGGAGGAATGAACATCGGCTAGGCTTGAGGCGCTCCATAGGCTGCTGGACTGAACAAGGACGTTGTTGGTACGGTGCAGTGCTGAAGACATATGCTTGTTGAGGAGCTTGAAAAAAATTATGATTTGATGGTTGTTGTCTAAGAACACCTGCATAATGAGATTGTTGACCCGTAACATTTCCCACAACATGATTAATATTAACATACGAACTAGAATTACCCCCCCCCCCCCAAGAAGCAACCTGATTGTTATTCCATTTACTTTTAGATTTTCCAGAACTAGTCGATGTTGAGTAGAGAGCTGCATTAGATGTGGTGGAATTATCAAGAGTAACATCAGTAGTTTCTTCACGAGCCTCATGGAGTAATAACAAATTTTTGGCTTCTAGAAAATATGGGAATGGCTTTGTTTTGGTGATGACATCCACAATGTTGTGATATGAAGGCGGTAGTTGGCTTAATATCTGCATAACAAGCTCTATTTTTGTGATTTCATAATCGACATCAAACAATGCATTAGCAAGATTCTTCAATGTGTGACAGAATTATGTGATGGAGGAGGCGCCCTTCTTTGTATTTCTGAATTGATCTTGCAACTGAAGCATGTGAGACATTTTGTTGTTGAGGAAAAATTTGTCCAGTTCATCCCAAAGATCTTTTGATATACAATTATCTATTGGATTAGGTGTCTAAGCCCATAACTATAATCGGTATATACTTGAATTGATAATAGCACAATCCTTTTGGGCTGCCCTCAAACTGAGCAATTGAATAGGATAGCCTTTAGAGAGAGAGAGAGACTGGTTTATTAATTTATTATATGGTTAATAAATTAATTAGAAATCAAAATAAATAATTTGTTAATATATTATGAGAATAATATATTAATTGGAAATAGTATTATTTAATTAATAATTAATCAGAAATTAATTGGAATTAATTTTGGTATTAATTGGATTAATTAAAAATGCAGGGTCTGTTTGGTTATTTATTGAAAGTTGAGGAAAGGAGCTCATGGACCTCGTTGGATGAGGTGGACGAAAATCAATTGGGCAAGCCCAATGAGTTTTCGTCTAAGCCCTTGAATGAGGAGGGAATGGGTTGCTTGGTCCCCACGCAAAGGGATTAGGGTTTCCTCCTTAAACCCTAGCTTTGGCACTAAGCTAACTCAACTATATAAAGGACCATACCCTTCATATTTTTGGCACTCCTTTCCCTAAGAAGATTTGGCTGAAATTTCCACCTCTCACATCTCTCTCTTCAAGCTCCTTGGTTGCTAGGGTTAGGGTGTGAACCATCAGAGGCACGACACTTGTGGTGCTTGCTGCCAAAAGTTTTGAAGAAGGAATTCAAGATTGTTTGCTATAACAATCTTCAAGGTAAGTTTCTTGTTCTTATGAATTAGTTTTTCATAAGAAAGTTTTGTAGGTTGATAATACATAGTATGTTGCCTATATGTGATAGAAATAGATCCTTATTAGGTTGCATGTGCCCTAATCATATAATTGTTTAAATGTTTTTCCGCTTAGAGCATTGTAGTTGTAACCCTAATAACCCATCAGTGGTATCAAAGTATATGGCTTTCTTTCATGTATTTGAAAATTGGTGAATCGAAAAAGAAACCTGGTTTTGTTTTGTCGCTGCTCACGGCGTGAGCAATAAGTGTAACATCCGTAAAAATCATGCAAAATTTAAACTTTTAAAAACATTTCAAAACCCATGATTATTACAAAACTTGTTTTCAAAATAGTATATCGTCAGAGTATCCCAGTACGATCACGCCTTCGCCTTCTTGCGATCATCAGAAGTACCTGAAACAATAATCGATAAATGTAAGCTCGAAGGCTTAGTGAGTTATCCCCAAAATACCAACGCCATATAATCATAACCATATCACATAAACATATAAGCAAACAACATGCATAATGAGCCATCAGTCTAACTGGACCGAATCCCGATCCTCAGTCTATCTGGACCGCTCTCCGAACCCTCGGCACGTCTGGACCGCCCTCCTCGGGGCCTCAGCCTATCCGGACCGCTTGTTGGGTCTTCGCCCTGACTAGATTTGCCTGGCCCGGGTCTGCAGTCTACCCGGTCCTCCCAGGGTGTCTTGCCTTACTGCACACAGCAGGACCTGCCTCAACCCTTTCCCCAAACCAATAAAAATGTGCACATAAATATCATACGCTAGCATGCAATAACAGATAGTCATACAGATCTAACAGATCACTATCATGGCAACCATCCCATAACCAGGATACCGATCTAACCTATCTCCAATATAGCAACCATCCTACAACCAGGATATCAATCTAACATATTACTAGCATAGTAACCATCCTAAAACTAGGATGAAATCAAACATACCAATAACATAACAACCATCCTAAACCAGGATGTAAATCATAAAGGGTCGGCCTTGGTGCCGTAGACCCTGTTGATATAGTGAGGAGAACTCACCTCAAAAATGTCGCACTGAAGTGATAAGCTCAAACTCTCGAATCACCGACACGAACTCCACCACCTATAGTTACCATAAAACCATTTCCATACATTTCCAAATTACCAAAATACCCCCCAGAGGTTAAACTGGTCAACCCTTGGTCCAAGTCAAAGTCAACTGTCCAAGTCAAGAGTCCATGTTGACCCAACTCGTCGAGTGCAGCTAGCAACTCGTCGAGTTCCTTAAGAGTTCAGAAGTTCATAAAACCCTCACTGACTCGCCGAGTTTCCGACCAACTCGCCGAGTTTATGCATGTTCAGAAGTCGGGGAAACACTAAGTGACTCGTCGAGTCCTCTGCTGACTCGCCGAGTCCATGCAGAAACCAAACAACGGAAAAACCCTTCCTAACTCATCGAGTCCCTTATCCGACTCGTCGAGTTCATAAAGTTCATTTCTTGTCCAGATGATTTTGAGCCATTCCAAAGCTCCAAATAGTAGATCTAGCCTCATAGGGCCTAGTTATCACATAAAGTTGCAAACTTTACGTGCATGTAAAGTCTCAAGAGTCAAAACCAAGCTAAAGAAGAAGCTTAAGACAATAGAAGGGCCATAGCTTGACAAAGGCTGAGACTTTATGACAATAAGGGGCTAAAGGGGTCCAGGTCTGAAGTTGAAACCTCAGATCTTGCCCCAAAT